ATTTTATGATATTAATAATTTAAAGAGTGTACACATAAATAGACAATAATAAAAATAATTTATAAATTATTTTTATGATATAATAATTTATGAAAAACGGGCACCAATATCCTATAAAGAAACGCGGATGAGGATCAAAACGGACTCCAATAAAATGCGGTCCAATATTCAATAAAGAAATCTAATCAAAGATTAATCTTCTTCATTCTTTTTCAAAATAGAATGCACAGTACTTTTGTTATCACAATAGAATAGGAAAATAGAATATGATGCCAATATTCTTTTGGTATCAATTAAATCATTTTTAAATTCTAATTCCACTTTACAAGGAAAAGAATTAGAATTTACAAGGAAAAGAATAATGTAGAAAATATCCACATACTTTTTTTTTTGGTGTTGACACAATCCACGTTGTATTAACCTCACCAAAATTATAATACATTTATGTAAATTTAGAATTTGATCTAAACAAATGTGACTTTATATACACTCTTTAAAATTGGTTTTTATTCTTTTTCGTATGTGGAGTTAGTTAGCAAATACATTTTAGAAAAAATATCTCCTAAAATGATTGTATCAGGGGCTAACATAATTGGTGAGAGTTGCAAATTTCAACAGGGTCAAAGCACCAAAAGAAGCTGTGTTCAAAACAAATCACAACGCGCGCCTATTCGACTTCTCTCCGTCGACCTTGTCCGATTCTGCTTGAACCAGGTTTGTGGATTTGTTTATGATTCGTATTTCGTCGCAATGTACTTCTTCTTTCTTTTTCGACTGATTCTGTTCTTGGTTTGGGTTAGGTTTGTAAATTTTAACAGGGTCAAAGCACCAAAAGAAGCTGTGTTCAAAACAAATCACAACGCACGCTTATTCGACTTCTCTTCGTCGACCTTGTCTCAATCTCTTCGATTCTGCTTGAACCAGGTTTGTGGATTTGTTTATGATTCGTATTTCGTCGCAATGTACTTCTTCTTTCTTTTTCGACTGATTCTGTTCTTGGTTTGGGTTAGGTTTGTGAACCAGTTTCTCCCTTCATCTTCCTATTTTCGACTGATTCTGTTCTTGGTTTGGGTTAGGTTTGTGAATCAGTTTCTCCCTTCATCTTCCTATTTTCGACTGATTATGTTCTTGGTTTGGGTTAGGTTTGTGAATCAGTTTCTCCCTTCATCTTCCTATTTTCGACTGAGATCACCGTTGTTAAAGTGGCTTTCTGTGCAATGACGATCCTTGGCATTCGACTGCATTGTATTGTTCTTCAATTCTCACAGGTTCTATGTTTTCTTTACTGTTCCGTCTCTTTAACTTTTTTTTCTTGTTTTCACTTCAATTTCTGTCTCCGACGATTACTTTACATTTTTCGTTCTCCGACGATTTACTTTACGTTTTTCGTTCTCCGACGATTACTTTACGTTTTTCGTTCTTCGACGATTACTTTACGTTTTTCTTTTGTCCTTGATCGTTTATAGGTTTCAATTATTGCATTAATCTTCGCCATTAAGATCACCGTCCAAGAATCAAGATTGACTTCAGCCGAATCGTAGTTCGGTAAGGGTAACTGGTATTTGTCATTCCTAAATCATATACTGCATTTTGTTTCATCTTGGATATCATTGAAATATGATTGTGGTTTTGTTGAATTTTGTAGCGTGTAGTATAGAAAGCTGTGACTGATCGATCATAAATGGCACCACCCAATCCGAAAGTTAAAGCGGCTTTCCGCGCAATGACGAACCTTGGCATTCATGAATCCAAAGTGAAACCAGTGTTAAAGTTGGAGCTGGTAAAATTGTATGAAGGAAACTGGGAGCTTATTGAAGCAGATAATTACACTGCTCTTGTAGATGCTATTTTTGATGTGGAAGATAATCTACAGGAAGATAATCAGGTGTATCCTATTTCCTGCATTAACACTTATTTGTTTTATTTATGGGTCTATTCTATGAAATTTGCTCTCATTTCACATGCACAATGCTTGTTAATTGTTATTATATAAAAATGCCACATTTGTCTGTGTTTCTTTCTTACTGTTAATTCTCTAGTTGCTGAAATGAATTACGGTTTTTCAAATATGCCTTAAACTATGGAGAAAGAGCTCTTTGTAGGATTTAGTTAGGGGAGGCTCACACTGCTCTGTTTAAAGACTTAACAACTTGACACATAGGATACACACTGCATATGCTAATAAGTTCCTGTGCCCGAAACTGGAGGAACAAGTTCCTGTGCCCGAAACTGGAGGAACAGTAGATGTCTTCACCATTAGTACCAGGTTGGACTCATTACAAGTGAGATCCCGTCAGGGGAAAAGGTGGAGCATCTTGCAAAATTGTGTATAATAAAAAGTTCCTGTGCCCGAAACTGGAGGAACAAGTTCCTGTGCCCGAAACTGGAGGAACAGTAGATGTCTTCACCATTAGTACCAGGTTGGACTCATTACAAGTGAGATCCCGTCAGGGGAAAAGGTGGAACATCTAGCAAAAATGTGTATAATAAAAAGTTCCTGTGCCCGAAACTGGAGGAACAAGTTCCTGTGCCCGAAACTGGAGGAACAGTAGATGTATTCACCATTAGTACCAGGTTGGACTCATTACAAGTGAGATCCCGTCAGGGGAAAAGGTGGAACATCTAGCAAAAATGTGTATAATAAAAAGTTCCTGTGCCTGAAACTGGAGGAACAAGTTCCTGTGCCCGAAACTGGAGGAACAGTAGATGTCTTCACCATTAGTACCAGGTTGGACTCATTACAAGTGAGATCCCGTCAGGGGAAAAGGTGGAACATCTAGCAAAAATGTGTATAATAAAAAGTTCCTGTGCCTGAAACTGGAGGAACAAGTTCCTGTGCCCGAAACTGGAGGAACAGTAGATGTCTTCACCATTAGTACCAGGTTGGACTCATTACAAGTGAGATCCCGTCAGGGGAAAAGGTGGAACATCTAGCAAAATTGTGAATAATAATAAATGCATGTGCAATCCTAAATATTCAATGAACAAAAAGTCTATAACAGAGCAGTTAAACCCCCCTTCTAAAACTAAAAGATAAACTCTTGGACCATAGGACGAGGCAGCCAAAGTTAAATTTAGGCTAGCTATCTTAATTGAAGAGTATTAATGTAAATTTAGGCTAGCTATCTTAATTGAAGAGTATTAATGTGATAGGTAACTGAAAAGTATTTGTTACTTTCCCTTTTTGATGTCCTAGCTTCAGGAACAAAAGGATGATTTGGGCACTTCGGAACTGTCATCCATCTTCACCTGGCTTTTGTACTTTGGAAGACTGGTGTTCTTTAGACACTTTGGAAAATTTCAAGATGATTTCTAGATGGTGAGTGTATTGCACTCTGAAAATCTTTGTTTCATGTAGCTAATTTTGTTAGTTGTCCGGATTAGGAATTTCAAGTTTTTGTTTTGTTTTGATTTTTGTCTGATTGTGAATCTTTGTTTCTTGTAGCTAACTTGCTGCTGGGTTATCAATATATGTTTTGAAGATTCTATTCACTACAAAGTTATATAGAATTAGTGGCAGTATGTTTTTATCTAGCCTTTGATGAACATGCTTTTGAGAAGATGAAGTAGAGATTTTGAGAAGATGCAGTTCTCGAAATCTTGCTTTACTTTTTCAAAATTATTACATTTCTATGTTATTTGTAATGATATATTATTAAATTGAAACTATTAATATATGATATATGTTGTTGTTCTATTGCAGTCCTCGAATTCTTTGTTGTTCTATATACTGCAGTTCCATTAATACATGCTTTAGGGTGGATGAAAACCCTGTACCGTTCGATAAGGATGAAACGGACGGCACTCGATCGTGGAGACATACTCTTAATGTGAATTTTATTGCTGTTTTTGACACTACCCGCCTTGCGGTAAGCTTGAAATTTGTCCTGGTTTTCTTTCACGTATCACATTATCGATCACACAGAATTTGTATTGATAGGTAAAATTTAGCTCAGGCCGCTATTTTGGTGGCAATAACAATGATACTGCGGCCCGTCTTCCATTCGATGCAGGATTTGAGGTATGATGTATCCCCAAACATAGATTTCTTTTATGAAGCTGATCACTTGATGCAGAATGCCTATACTCATATGTGTGCTGAATTTCATTTATATTTTAGGCCGTGGGAATCATTGCAGCAGTTGGGGACTCGGTCAATGACTTGAAAGTTGGCATGCCGTGTGCATTCATGACTTTTGGAGGTTATGCTGAATTCACAGAGGTGAGCAGTGGTTTTATCTCGTTGATTCCGGTTTCGTCGCATTTTAGTTTTCGCATTGATTTGGTAACAACGGCTGATTATAGGTTTACTCTCAGATTTATCATTGGTGCTGCGATTGAATGTTGGTTAAGTTACTTTGAGGTTATTAAATAGGATATGATATTATGGATTGAATGTTGGTTAAGTTACTTTGAGGTTATTAAATCGGATATGATATTATGGTTTTCTGGTTTCTAGTTATCTCAGTCATGTTCATACTAAACTTTTAGGACTTGATTTTAAGAATTCTTTTTGAAATTTGATGATGGGTTTTACTGCTTGTATGACTTTCAGTTGTAATTATCTTTATAAGTTGCTTATGGCATCCGACTGAACCGGTTTCGGTTTTACTGCTGTTCATTCAATAGATATGTTTCCTATAGTTTTTTGTTTCCTATACAGTAAGTGCTTATGTGGTGTAGGTTTATGATGATATCTCTAGTTCCTAACTAATCAGGATTTTGGTGATGTAGCACCCTTTTATTTGAAGGCTAATTTGATTAATCATTTATTGTGAATTTACTCTATTATTTGAAGGCTAGTTTGATTAATCTTTTATTGTGAATTCGCTCTTTGATTTGAAGGCTAATTTGATTAATCTTTTATTGTGAATTCACTCTTTTATTTGAAGGCTAATTTGATTAGTCTTTATCCTGAACTGATTTTAGGATGCAATGCAAAGGAAAGCTCTTGCTTCTGCAGCAGCTGCTGCTGCATTAGAAGAGGCTAATGCTACTGAATGCATAACAAGAAATTTAAGGTAATGACTACCCTTTGACCAGATGTTACTGATTAGTAGTTTGGATGTGGATAAAATGTCCTGATGAGTTATTTTGGGGTAATTATGTTTATTATATGATTATATAATTATATGATTAGTCTTTTATCCTGAACTGATTTTAGGATGCAATGCAAAGGAAAGCTCTTGCTTCTGCAGCAGCTGCTGCTGCATTGGAAGAGGCCAATGCTACTGAATGCATAATAAGAAATTTAAGGTAATGACTACCCTTTGACCAGATGTTACTGATTAGTAGTTTGGATGTGGATAAAATGTTACTATGAATTACACTGATATGTTTTGTTAACAAATTTTTTATTAGTCAACACTATGGTACGCTACCAACTGGACTTCTTAATGGGACAATTTTAAGTTAATTTTATTTTAATTGATACCTAAAGAGGCAACCACTTCATAAGTTCTTTTAACATATTTAAAAAATTAACACACCATTTCAAAAAATAATTGACAATCTAGTCATTTTTGTTTAAAATGTCAATGTTTAATTAGGTAACAACATATATTACAATCCAACAAAGTGTATTTTAAAATATAACTAGTAACATACCACAGATAAAATGATATGTTATAAAATTTCTACTAATCAGTAACATCTGGTCATACTCATAACTCATGGATTGAAAAACGCATGGTTTATGCTTTCGTTATGGAGAATGATATCATCCCATCATTAGTGTGTCAAGCAATTGGTGTTACTTGACAACAACAAGACCATTAATGAAGATGGCGAGGTGATAGAAATATAGTCTAAAATGGAAGATGTAAATGAGGGATCAAGTGTAACCTATGTAGCACCGACACCGCTAAAAAATGAAGTGTCCGAGTCGAACACGACACCTACACAACACTTATAATTATCTTTTATTTATTTATTTTTTAAATTATTACCGATGTTGCCGTGTCGGTCTATTTGTGGTGCAACTAGCAGCCTATTTGATTTATAAAAACAATATTACACTGATTAGTTGTTTCATTATTATTATTATTATTATTAATTTTTGTTTTCTTCCACAGATTGGAAAAACTAAATTGGAGTGCAGCAGAAGGAAAGGCAAAAGTGATAGGAACATTAATAGGAACCAATGGAGCAGTGTTACTGACATTTTACAAAGGAGCAGAAATTAACATTGGATCATCTAATATAAACCTTTTGCATGCACATCACAACCAAATTGGAGATGCAAAACCACAACATGTAGACTTTAGTAACAAACTATTAGGTGTTCTTTGTGCCATAGGAAGCAGCTGCTCTTTTTCTCTATGGTTCATCATTCAGGCTAAAATGCATAAAGAATATCCAAGCCATCACTCAAGCACAGCTTTAATGTCCACAATGGGAGCAATACAAGCCACTGTTTTTGCTCTTTGTGTAGACAGGGATTGGATCCAATGGAAGCTTGGTTACAATATCAGGCTTCTCACCGCAGCTTCTTCGGTATGACAATAAATCAGATATAGTGTTGCTGGCTTTCCTCAACAAATTTATTCAACACGAATGCCAGACACAGATACTCACACTGACATTTTTTTAAAGATGTTGAAGCTACACAACTTCAAATGAATGTTTGTTTAATCTAAAGGAGTGTGGATGTAGGGAATAGTAACCTTTGGAATAGCTACTATTGTTGTTGCTTGGTGCATAAAGATGAGAGGCCCTCTTTTTGCGGCGGTTTTCTATCCTCTCCAACTCATAATCGTTGCTGTCTCTGCTTATTTATTGTTGGATGAGAAGTTATATTTAGGAAGGTACAAAGATTATGGTTTCATTTTTTTTAAACTTTCATATTTATCCATGATGCATGAGTTGATTTTATATAGTTTGATTATATATTTTGTACAGTATTCTTGGAGCAGTGCTGATCGTGTGTGGTTTGTATGTGGTGCTTTGGAGTAAGAACGAAGAAATGAAAGAAAAAGCTCAATTGATGAGTAGGGTTAGTCCAGAACATTCTGAGGCCTAATGTGAATATGAAGATTAGGTGGTTTGTACTAGAATTGGCCCAAACTGCACGTCAGAGTGATTAACTTAGGGTTTAATTTCACACTTTGATCTCATTTCAGTTCACTTTGTTGTTTCAAGCGCCTCCGACCGTAGTTGTTCATCCACGAGCGCCACCAAGCCACCCACAAACCACAACTGATCATGTAAGTTCTTTGTCTTTCTATTTCTCCTTCTCTCTCTTTCTCTCTTTCCGTCTCTTTCTCTTTGTCTCGATTTGTATTTGTTTGATGTTTGCAAACTAATGTTTGATGTTTGATATTGAAGTTGTTTTTGATGTGACTTTAACGAATTTTGACTCAACTTATTTATATATGAACTGCTCTTAGAAGTTGTTTAATTTTTGTGTAATTAGTGTTGAAATTTGTGTTGAAGTTTTTGAGAAATTAATGTTGAATTTTGCTTGTGTCTATGAAATGATGTGTGTTTTTATCTATGAAATTAGTGCTCTTAGAAGTTGTTTAATTTCTTATTAATTAGTCTTTGAAAATTTGAAATGATGTGTGTTTTTGAAGATTCTATTCACTACAAAGTTATATAGAATTAGTGGCAGTATGTTTTTATCTAGCCTTTGATGAACATGCTTTTGAGAAGATGAAGTAGAGATTTTGAGAAGATGCAGTTCTCGAAATCTTGCTTTACTTTTTCAAAATTATTACATTTCTATGTTATTTGTAATGATATATTATTAAATTGAAACTATTAATATATGATATATGTTGTTGTTCTATTGCAGTTCTCGAATTCTTTGTTGTTCTATATACTGATGTTCCATTAATACATGCTTTAGGGTGATGAAAACCCTGTACCGTTTGATAAGGATGAAATGGACGGCACTCGATCGTGGAGACATACTCTTAATGTGAATTTTATTGCTGTTTTTGACACTACCCGCCTTGCGGTAAGCTTGAAATTTGTCCTGGTTTTCTTTCACGTATCACATTATCGATCACACAGTTAAGAAAAAAGGGGATTGAAACCTTTTGTTGTTGATTGTGTGCTTTTAAATAGATTAAAAGCATGGCAGCGTTGAAAAGGCCTGGGGTGATCATCAATTTGGGTTCTGCTTCGGGTCTTTATCCGATGTATCTTGACCCTATCTATAGTGGCTCTAAAGGTTTGTCATTTAACAATCAATTATGCATCTCCACAAAACTTATACTAACTTACTATCATTTTTTGTTTACCCAAAAATTAACTTACTATATAGTTTACTTAACTGTTTCTTCGCTTCACAGGTGGTGTTGTTATGTTTACTAGAGCACTTCGTTTATACAAACGTCAAGGAATTCAAGTCAATGTGCTTTTCCCTGAGGTAAGAGTTGTTTTTGGACTTGAAAATTTTGATATTTTCAAAATAAATTCTACTCTACATTACAGTTTACTCTCAGATTTCGTCGCATTTTAGTTTTCGCATTGATTTGGTAACAACAGCTGATTATAGGTTTACTCTCAGATTTATCATTGGTGCTGCGATTGAATGTTGGTTAAGTTACTTTAAGGTTATTAAATAGGATATGATATTATGGATTGAATGTTGGTTAAGTTACTTTGAGGTTATTAAATCGGATATGATATTATGGTTTTCTGGTTTCTAGTTATCTCAGTCATGTTTATACTAAACTTTTAGGACTTGATTTTAAGAATTCTTTTTGAAATATGATGATGGGTTTTACTGCTTGTATGACTTTCAGTTGTAATTATCTTTATAAGTTGCTTATGGCATCCGACTGAACCGGTTTCGGTTTTACTGCTGTTCATTCAATAGATATGTTTCCTATAGTTTTTTGTTTCCTATACAGTAAGTGCTTATGTGGTGTAGGTTTATGATGATATCTCTAGTTCCTAACTAATCAGGATTTTGGTGATGTAGCACCCTTTTATTTGAAGGCTAATTTGATTAATCTTTTATTGTGAATTTACTCTATTATTTGAAGGCTAGTTTGATTAATCTTTTATTGTCAATTCGCCCTTTGATTTGAAGGCTAATTTGATTAATCTTTTATTGTGAATTCACTCTTATATTTGAAGGCTAATTTGATTAGTCTTTTATCCCTGAAATATTAATGTTTAGTGCAGTTTGTTGATACTGAGATGGGCTTAAAGATGGATCCCAAATTCCTTAATATGATGGGGGGCTTTGTACCTATGGAAATGTTTAGTGTAGTTATGTAACCTATTTTTCTCGAGTTACTAATCTTAACTCTTTTTGGTTTTCAGGAGATGCACACCATCTTAATTAGAGGAGATGCACACCGCGTTATGAGAGGGTGTACCTGAGTTACTAATCTTAACTCTTTTTGGTTTTCAGGAAATGCACACCATCTCAATTACTTGTAATAATCAATATATTTTTTACTATGATTGATTAAATTTGAAACTCATAAAATAGGAGAGACATCTACGAAATATTTGCTGAACCAGTCGATCCAAATGAGGTCAGTGGTCTTAATTACTCATAATATGTTATAGATATTTTATGAAAATTTTCTTATAACTCACTTGTGGTGGATTTTTATGGAAAGGTTAAGGATTACTATTCAATCATCCAGGAACCTATGGATTTTGGCACAATGAGAGCTAAACTACACTAGGGAATGTATAAGACTTTAGAACAATTTGAGGTTTACAACCTTGATTTTTCATGAATGATTGTCTCCTTTTTTAATATATTACTACTTTTAGTAGTAATCCTAACACGTGTATGCTTAAAGTGTTATTATGCTTTAATTTTTGCCATCTAATACTTGGTATTTGAACTATTATGCAGCATGATGTATTCTTGATATTCAACAATGCAATGAAATTTAATTCTTCTAATACCATATACAGGTATGACATGGACGTTTGTGAACAACATGACACCAAATTTCATTATCAAATATTTATTTTTTTATAAACTATTTATGTATGTATTATTTCAATTTGTAGGCTCGAGCTATAAGTGAGTTAGCTAATAAAGTTTTTGATGTATTGAGAATCAATCCTAACAAGTTTCAAATAGACTTCTCGGAAGTGAGTCGAGTAAATGAAAGAGGTGTTAGGGATTCATCACACTTGAAATCCAACAAAACAACAGTTGGTGTGCCGTCGAATAATATGTCATCAAGCCGAAAAAGCGTCAAGATAGATTTTCACGACGCCTATAAACATAATCATGCTATAGATGTAGAAGTTGGTCCAGGTAAGAGGAAACATATTAATAAATTAAGACTGTTATATTGTGTTGAAATTAACTTTGAAATTTAATTTGGTTAACTTTGATGTGTGTTTGCATAGCTCCTAAGTTATTTTTCACTTTAGTTTGTCATATTTTACTTGCAAATTTTTTATGCTAAACAAAATCTTGTACTTACTCTGACATTCTAAAGGTTTATATATGAAAACAATTGAAAAGCTTCTTATGTATAGTTTTCATCCTAAGCATAGTGAAACTCAATTACGAAGTTTGTTATTGCTAAAGAAAACAACCCTCATAATCTTGTACCTGAGTGAAAAGAAGAGGGGGGAAACAGAAACAATTCCACTTATAAAATTACCTGTTGAGTGGGCTAAGTGGGTTATGGGCGAGGAAAGAGAGATCGACAGTAGTTGAATAAAAAGAAGGATTATGGAGGGGAGTGGGCAGACTAGAAATTAGAAGTTATTCTTGAGAGATCCTAGGCTTCTCGATGTTAACTGTACTGTCAGGAAGTGTATTTTTTAGGTAAAATGTTGTCAGAGGCACATGGCTGCGAAGTCATTGGAAGAAGGCTTGTTTATTTAATTTTAAACTGTGTTTCAATCCATTGCTGATCAAAATCATTGGAGTGATGTCTCGTAGTTGTCATTATCATTATCATAAGGATAAAGTTAATAGTTTATTTCAGTTTCTTCTGTCGAAAAATAACTAATAAGAATAAGGTTTCTAAAGTATTGTTCTTGTGTTTCAGGATTTTTGCTACTATGCGAATACAATTTTCTTGATTTACCTTCTGTTTTATCAAAAGAATGAAAAGCATTTTCTGGTTTGCTTCTCATTTGCTGAGGTGAGTGTTTTACGGTAATTTGATATCTTAGAAGACGAGCGGTTAATCGGTCGGTTTTGCGTCTTATTTAAGTGCTTCTGTTGCAGGGGCCTTTAGCATGGGCTTTGATTTTTTGGCATTGCAGTTTGGTGTTCAGTTCTGTTGACAAAATCGTCAGTTTTCTTATCCATCTCTTCCCTGGTATGTCACACCTACCATTTTTACTATTTTTCTTTTTTAACAAGATAATAAGCTTTTGGAAAACCATTGGCTTCTATTATGACTTTATAGAGTTATATGCATTGAATGATCAAATATTGGACATATCTTCTAAACAATTGCAAAAATAAAAAGTATTTTACTTAATGTGTTCAAGTTCTACTATACTATCTTCATGATTTTTATTTTGAAATTTCATAGGATTCTAGTGTGGTATCTAGAATTAGCTTTTAGCTTAGCGCCATAATCCATTAGTTCGTGTTCTTAACTCACATATATCTTTGCTATAGGAAGGAAGATTTAGTAACATTACTATTCAAAAGATTCATGCTAGACAGGGAGATCTAAAGTTTAGTAGTCAAGTTCATATACTGGATCAACTTAGAAAATTGTTCAGTGATACTAGAAATAAGGTTTTTTTATCAGAAGACAATTTTGTAGAAAACATTCCTTATTCTATCCATGTAAAGATGTGAGATGCGAGAATGTGCTTTATACGAAAAATAAAAAGCTAAATAAAAACACTGATGGACACCTTGGGTGGACATCAGTGTTTTACTCGTTTGGATCCCTTGGAAGTATTGTTTGCTTTTTGGTTGCAAAAAGTAAGTCATTAATTTTGATGTATTCTACTTTATGTATCTAATATTATCTTTTCATGATAGTCAACACTTTATGCTCATTTATCGGAATTCGGATTCCCCGTTCTTAGAGGATCCCACATTCATGCATTTGGGATATCGGTAGCCTGATCAAGATATGACAGTCTAAAAAACACAGATCTTAATCGAGCTTGAATCCACCGATGGTCAAACTGTGTGAATGCAAGGAATTATTTATTGTAGAGAGCTGGATCCGGTTTATTGACTTCAATTTCATAAGTCTGCAAGTAAACTCGTTTCCTTTCCTTTGCAAGACCTTCTCACTAAACATGGAAATGTGGTCGCCAAAATTTTGACGGCTCACTATGATGAGGTTTGCGTCCTTGGCATACTTATCTTATTTGAACATATCAAGACAGCACAAAATGCTGCTTGAGAAACAACTATGCTCATGCTTTTCTAATAGGACTTATTGTTCCCAGTTTTTTGATCAATACGAAAACCTCTTGACGTCTCCAAATTACGTCACACCGAGGCAGTCTATCAAGGTCAGTTCTGTTCTGCCATTAATTACAAAATGTTTTTGCTTTCTGATCATATCTTTGATTTTAACAATTAAATTTACTTGGATTTTAGCTTCTCTCGGATTTTCTTTTGGAATCGCCCAATGCTCAAATAATGAAGCGCTACATCTTAGAAGTTCGCTATTTGAAAGTCATGATGACATTGTTGACAGTATAACTCCTCTTTATCCTGTGTCATTGTGCGATATGCTTGTCTTTCCATGCGATTAATGAATATGCTTACATGGTTGAGCAGGATTCAAGTAAAAACTTTCAGTTATCGGCTTTTCACATTTTCAAGGTGATTTTCCCGCTTCATGTTTTCAAGTTAATCAATTAACACGTACATTTGGATCTTTGTTTTAATTATTTTTGTTAAATGTTCAT